CTTTCGGCACAGCCCGTATCCCACCGCCCCAAACCACAGTCATTCCCCCAGCCTCTCACGATCACACTCTCTGGCTGTAGAAACCGCAGTTTTCAGGATTTCTGTTGCGGCCTTTGAGGCAAACCCCTCCCCACGTCCCTCCCCGTTTCGTGACGGCGTTACCCCGCTGCGACCCGAAGCCGGCCTCGGCGCCATTTTGGCGCAGAGCGGCCCAGCCCCCCCCCTGCTCACACCGGGGCCTGCGGCTGCACAGCGCTCCGTGCCGCCCGGGAACGGGCTCCGGCAGAGGAAGGAGCAAGGCCACAGCCCGACTCCTGCTCCCAGCCTCCAAGGAGATGCCCCCTCAGCAGCACGGCAGGAGGACCCGCAGCCTTCATGGGGTTCCTAGGATGGCCTCCTCAGTCCCCTGCCTTCCACCCCTCCGGTAACGCTGGCAGGGCCGGCGCACTGACAGCTGCAGTAACCCGGGAGGAACACGCCCCAGCTGCAAAAGCTGCCGCAGACCACAAACATGAACTGGACGAGGGTCCCCCAGATGTGCGTTCACAGACCCAGTGCCACGTCCACATCCGCTGCACACCATCGCGCCCAAGGACATGCCGCCTCACAGTGAGGCTCCTCCTTGCCAGGCACTTCCTCTTCCATCACCCACAGCGCTACCTAAAAGTCTCCTAGCTGGTACAGCAGCTGGGAAGTAACACCCAGTCCTGCTCTCCCAGCCAACGGCCCGCGGCTGGAAGCGGGCAGCAAGCACAGCCTCAGCACACAGCCCAAAAACCTTCCCTGAGTAAAGAGGGGCTGCTCTGCTCTACATTTAATGAGCAGAGTCAGTGACCAGTCCTCACAGAGTAGGGAGGAGTGCGTTACCAAGCCTCCAGCAGCTCCTGGAACAGAGACACACGTGGAAGAGGAGCACACTAGTCACCACAAGCCCAAAAAAGAGCCATAATGGGATGGAAACAGGATGCTCAGGGCACGCTGCAGGCAAAACCTACGATATCAAGGTGCAAGTCAAACTACTAGGGCAATGGTGGGCCCTCAAAGAAAAGCCCACACTACCCTCTCTGCAACCAGGTACCTCCAGAAGCAGTGAATTCTGTACACTGCTTGTCTCCAGCCGCTCCTGAATAAGATCCAGGACACACCTTTGCTTTTTCTTTTTCTCATTTATTGTTCAGTACAGGACACAGGTGAGGTAAGACATCTCGCAAGGGTCTAAGCTGACAGGCTCCTTGCTGACGGGGCTGAAGGATGCAAGAGACCCTGATTCCTTTTTCCTTCCCCCCAGCACCAGTGGCCCCCTCTCCCTGCAGCGCTGCAGAAGGGGGAGGCACTGGCCAGGTTAACCGTAGGCTCTTACAGGTCAACGGGCAACCGAAGACTCGGCCGATTCAGAGAGGAGGCTGTCGCGACGCTGCCGCGCTACGCTCCCGCGAACAGGACTCCGATGTGGCGGTGGGGGTTAGCAGCACAGCTAGAACAATAACCACGGAGGGGGAAAGCCTGAGGGAAGGCCTCTGTACCGAGACGTGTGCAATGAAAAGGTCCCTTCTTGCTTCCGTTTCTTGCTCTCAACCACAAGGGACTGCTCCTCACGGCCTGCTTCAGTGTTTGGCATTGATAATATCCACAAACTCCGGCTTGAGAGAAGCTCCGCCAACAAGGAAGCCGTCCACATCATGCTGAGAGGCCAGCTCCTTACAGTTGCCGCCAGTGACTGAACCTAAGGAGGGCGCAGGATTTTAAGGTCAGATGTAGCCAGAGCGAAGGAGAGACCTGCAAGGCGCTAGCCACCTCTTACCGCGCAGTAAGACTGTCTCCCATTTTCCCAAACAAGCTAGTAGGGCTTGTCACGGTTCCCCACGCTCTGACAGTCTCATTTCCTCACCAGCAGAGCGTGCTGTACAACCGCGGCAATAAAGCAGTAAAGCTGAGCGCTTCCTGCGCCGGAAAGACTCGGACTCACCTCCATAGATGATCCGAGTTACTGAGCGCTTCCTGCGCCGGAAAGAAGACTCGGACTCACTCACCTCCATAGATGATCCGAGTTGACTGAGCAACAGCATCGGACACGTGGCTTTTGAGCCACCCCCTCAGCTTCTCATGAACTTCCTGAGCCTGCAATGGAGCACAGAGTCCCACTAAGGGCCGAGCCATCCTGCCGTCAATCCAACTCCCCTCCCAAGGGAAGGGAGAGTCTAAGGTTTTAGATCAAATCTGTAGAGAGAATCCTCAAGAAGATCTCTCGAGTGGGGAGGGTCAGTCGGCCCCTCAGTCAGCCACCCTTCCCCTGCTCATACCTGTTGCGGAGTTGCAGTTTTCCCAGTCCCGATAGCCCACACTGGTTCATAGGCAAGCACCACTTTACTCCAGTCCTTCACGTTATCTGGGGAGGAGGGAGAGGTATGGGTCAGCGACCGTAGCCCGCGCTGGGAAGGGTAGAGCTGGAAAGCAACCGTAGCCCACGCTGGGAAGGGTAGAGCTGGAAAGCCTTCCGGAACACGCAGGCCTTTTAACACCATCACGTTCATACGGTGCGTGAACATTCGCAGCAAGATATCGGCAAGCCTTAGGAGGCAGGCCAAGATGGCCACTACAGCCGTTTCCCAAGTGTCCGAAGGAGAAGAAAGCACACGTTTTCTTCCCTTACCTGCAATGGCCTTGGTCTGTTCAAAAACCACCTTCTCGGTTATGCCAGCTTCTCTCTCATCCAGCTTCTCTCCAATGCAGGCAATGACCCCAAGGCCCTCAGCTAGAGCATGAGCCACCTTCTGCCCAATCAGCTGGGAACGGGGAAGAAAGAAGGGAATTGGTAAGTCAGCCCTACTCCTGCAGTCGTCTTTTAACCGTTCACCCCTCCAGCATTCGCAGGCGCGTCCGAGCTGGACCATCTTTCCATTCCAGGGTCACCCACCTCATCAGACTCTCCAAAGACGTGCCTTCGCTCCGAGTGGCCCAGGATCACCCACGCGGCTCCAATGTCTTTGATCATGGCTGGGCTGGGGAGAAAGGAGAGGACTCGCACCTCTGGAGGAAACTCACGCCCCAGAGGCGCCCTGGCTTCGCTCTTCTCTGCGGGCTCACCTGATCTCCCCCGTGAAAGCCCCCTTCGGCACCTTGTAACAGTTCTGCGCTGCAACCCCAATCTTGGCATCAAGCTTCTGACGGGCAAAGTCAAGGTAGATGGAGGGGGCTCCACAAACCACCTCTGGAAGGCAGAGAAGGCCGTTACCCTCGCGAGGGGCGACGGGCAGATGCCATCCCCAGCCCCCGACCCCAAATCCCAGCCCCAAGAGATCATCCTTCGCTCCCTACTCCTGCTCCTGGGAAGGGCTCGGCCCGCTCACCCTCGCTGACATTTTGGGGACCCTCTGCGGCAGGGACATACCCACGATCCGATGACTCGATGCCAGGTGGGAAGCGCTTTCCAGTGGGCCAACAGCCAGGCCCCCTGGCTGGATACCACGGGTCGCTTGGAATGGGCCCAGGTGGGAAACCGGGCAGGAATCCCACCCTGG